CTCTATCTATAGTCGATCTGCCAATATCCGTCCTGTACACTCAAATTGAGCGCTCTCTTCCCTCTATACAAGACACGCCCCCTCACTGCTGATTGGCTGCAAGTGTGCATCACATTATCATATTTTTACATGTTTTGTTGATCTTATCGAGCTGTTTTTGTCATTTGATCAAACAGCATCAGTGTTTTAGAGAGACACAGATGCAACATTTTACAGTGAAACTAGCCAAATAATTACTTACAAAATAATTACAAAATTCAGTTAATTTTCAGTTAATACTTACTGGTGTTTGTGCTGCCCCCCCCCCCCCCCCATGATGATGTCACTTCCTGGAGGATGCTGTAGTGAGGTCAGCTGTGTTTGTGGTCAGGTGTGCTGCTGGGGAATAAGAGTGACCTGTCGTCCAGAAGAGAGGTGGACGCCGCCGCCGCCGCTCAATCATGGGCTCAGAGTCACGGGATGGAGTATCACGAGACGTCTGCTGTGAGCCAAACACACGCATCTTCATCTTCATCATCATCATCATCACCACTGTCTGATGCTGAAGCTCTCTCTCTCTGTGTGTGTGTGTGTGTGTGTTCTGCAGAAGGAGATCGGTCAGAATGAAGCTCCGTTCCTGAGTCTGGCTCGAGCGTTTCTCTTGCTCTATCAGGATCAGATCCAGATCATCCAGAGCCTCGTTTAACCTCATCCACAGTCAGTCATATGCGTCATGTACATTTCAGTGTCCTGTTGTGTGTTTTTTTCTGTGGTCTGAGCTCAATAAAAAACTCATTCCTTTCTAAATCTGACAACTGTTACAGTTAATGAATCTTGAGTTAGTTATTTTAGTCTTAAATTAGTAATCTCATGATCAGTGTTGGGGGTAACGCATTACAAGTTACGTAATCAGATTACTTTTTTAAAGTAACTAGTAAAGTAATGCATTACTTTTTAATTTAGAAGGAAATATCGGAGTTACTTTTTCAAATGTACATGTTTCCATGTATTGAGTGACAGCTCTGGTGTTGCCATGGTGACAGAAATCAGGAGTAAGTGCAGAGCGTTGTGTGCGAACATGATCTTACTGTAGTTCTAGACTAAATATCAACATGTGTTTACTCATCTCACTTGCACAAAAACACATTCAGTGTTCCTCAAAATGAATAAAAACCATCAAATACAAACTCAGAATATAATGAAAACCTGCAATAATTAAATGTTAAATAAGAGAAATATAATTTTTTATATTAAAAACAAACAAGCAAGCCCTGCCCAGATTTAAAAAGTAATTCAAAAGTAATGTAACACATTACTTTCCATAAAAAGTAACTAACGTAATTAAAAACTGCAGAAAAACCACGTGGTATGCGGTCAGGTTTAGGCCTGCCTCAGGGAAGAGGACGCCCCTGCCATGCATAGTCCACCATAGGCACCGTAGGAGGTGCGACAGGCCTAAGGTCCAGCAGAAAGACTGTAATGAATAATGCATTTCTGGAGACAGTGGCTACTGTGAATAGAGCAGTTGGAGTCCAGGGAAGACTGGAGGACAACCAGGAGAGACTGGTGGCAGCAGGATAGACTGCTCCGGGAGAGGCGGGCTGGTAACCCTATCCTCGAGTTTTCCAAGAGGAAGACACCCAAAGCTTACTACGAGAAAAAAACAAGGAAAACAACCCGAAGGCCCTCCGAGAGGCGGGATGAAAGAAGGGCCAACAAGGACGGACCACACGGTAACGGACGCAAGGATATCGGCAAAAGAGAAGATCCCAAGGAGGTGTGGAAAAAACAACAACTCTGAGGGGACTTCACATCCATATGGGAAAGAAGAAGTGTTGGTTTTTTACACTGGCCACTTTTAGGAAGATCTGTGGTTTTTCTTCCTCATTTGAAATGACTAACTTATACTTTTTTTTTCTTGAATTTCCCTTAGTCAGTCTATTTGCATTAGTGTTGCATAAAGAATCAGTGCAGAGAGAAGTGAAATGCCAGAAAATGATTCTCAATATTGATGCTTGTGGTATTTCTCATTGTGACAAATGTTATTTCTGGTGAAACTCCAGAGCCAACTGAGCTCATTTAGAATTTTTTTTCTCCTTTTTCTTTAAAACTAAAAAAAATAGGCAAATAGAAATTGTGGTTTCCACAACATAAAAATGGTACTAATGGGAAAACGTCACAAAGACTCACAGCATTATAATAGACTAGACTGTGTTTAAATGAGTGATAGGAACCATTGCATCTTGACTCCCAGAAACTGTTGTTAAATGTTCTTTTCAGGTCCAAAAGCTGTACAAGTCAGCTTAGTCCCCAAAAACATATACAAGTCTCATAATTTACAGTGGAAAACCCATAAATTGACATTCACAGAATTTTTTGCGTGACACCCCACATTTGTTAAGTTTCATTATTTTAGTGTTACCATGATGGTACGGTAAAGTTATGGCAACCACAGCTGCCTTTTATTTTACTGTAACCCTGTCAGACCTGACGAAGGGGATTAAGGAGTGTTCAGTTTGGGACCTCTAGCTCTCTCTGTCTCTCTCTCTCTCTCTCTCTCTGTTTGAGCCGCAGGGGCTCGCTGCAGAGAACAGCAGATGTGGAATTCCAGTCCAGTCCGTTCTGGCTCCCAGGCTTTTTTATAACACTAACATGCTCCTTTCTGCGGGCCTCTGGACTGGAGTGAGAGGATCCGTATGTGCCCAGCCCAGATTTTTTCCGTTTCTGTTCCGTTTTTTTCCCCGTTTTTTTTCTGGACTCCTTTTTAATGGTTAAATTACATTTTATTAATCAAACCGCATGTCTAATTAATTAAAATCATGAAACTTAAACAATTTAACATCAATTTATTAAAATCGAATTAGGGTTTGCTGCAGGGGGTGTCAGGGAGACGTCCCTGTTCACTGCCCCGCCACCAGGAGACGTTCTGGGTTAAGGGGCGAAACGTCAATGAGCGGTGGTCCCCAGCTGAAGACCCTGCAGAAAAACTACGTGGTATGCGGTCAGGTTTAGGCCTGCCTCAGGGAAGAGGACGCCCCTGCCATGCATAGTCCACCATAGGCACCGTAGGAGGTGCGACAGGCCTAAGGTCCAGCAGAAAGACCACCTCGCTGTAATGAATAATGCATTTCTGGAGACAGTGGCTACTGTGAATAGAGCAGTTGGAGTCCAGGGAAGACTGGAGGACAACCAGGAGAGACTGGTGGCAGCAGGATAGACTGCTCCGGGAGAGGCGGGCTGGTAACCCTATCCTCGAGTTTTCCAAGAGGAAGACACCCAAAGCTTACTACGAGAAAGAAACAAAGAAAACAACCCGAAGGCTCTCCGAGAGGCGGGATGAAAGAAGGGCCAACAAGGACGGACCACACGGTAACGGACGCAAGGATATCGGCAAAAGAGAAGATCCCAAGGAGGTGTGGGTGGGGCTGGGAAAAAACAACAACTCTGAGGGGACTTCACATCCACATGGGAAAGAAGAAGTGTGGTGGTGGTAGCCTGATGCAACCTTGCACTGCCCCGGTGTGGGCAGGTCAGACAATTGGGATTCAAGGCCGGGTTGACAACCACAGTGCTAACGGGCCCAATGTTGCAGAGCAGGAGGAAAGGAAGGAGGAGGAAGAAAGGGATGTTGATGAACCCCAAGAAGTGAACTCAGTAGCACCCCCAAGAACAGAGTTGAGCCAAAGGGCCGGGAACCTGAAGAACCCACTCCGAAGGAACAAGATCAAGTGGCCAAAGGCCAACGAGGCTGAGGAGTGGAGAAAGTTGGACGAACATCTGAGCGAGCTGCTGCAAAAAGCTCTGCGCGGGTCAGTGGTAGCCAAGCTAAACCTGTTTGGGGAAATCCTGTATGAAGAATGCAGCAACAGGTATGGCGAGGTGACCATTAGAGAAGCCTTAATAAGATCAAAAGGCAGGAGGGAGAAAGAAATCGATGACCTGGTGGTAAGCAGAAGGCAGCTCCGCAGGCGTTGGAGGAAGGCAGAGGAGTCTGAGAAGGAGGGCCTGAAAGCTCTCTGGGATGAGATCAGAAGACGCCTTGCTAACCTCCGGAGGGTAGAACGCATCAGAAGACGGAGGAAAAGGAAGGAGAAGGTTTCAAAGAAGATCAACGTTTCTTCAGGAATCCATTCCGGTATGCACGCGGGCTCCTTGAGGAGAAGACAAGTGGAATTCTGGATGTCTCCAAAGAAGAACTGCAGGAGTCTCAGTACAGTCAGTACAGTGACCCAGCAAGGAACAAACCCCTAGACTCGCCAGGGTATGTGCCTAGACCCTCAGCCCTGTCAGCCCTGTTTGACGCATCACCACCAAAGTTCAGTGAGATCAGGCAGGTGATCCAGCGGGCAAGATCTGCTTCGGCACCAGGCCCGAACGGAATACCGTACAAGCTGTATAAGAGCTGCCCAGGAGTGCTGAAGCTGTTATGGACCCTGATGAGAATCACCTGGACTAAGCAGACCATACCATCCGAGTGGCAGAGGGCAGTGGCAGTCTCTATTCCCAAACAACAGAACGCCAAGACCATCGAGCAGTTCAGGAGCATAGCTCTACTGAATGTGGAGGGGAAAATCTTCTTCTCCGTGATGGCAAGAAGAATGACCACTTACCTCACGGAGAACAACTACATCAATACCAGCTGTCAGAAAGCCGGGATTCCAGGTTTCCCTGGCTGTGTAGAGCATGCTTCCATGATTTGGGAACAGATCCAGACCACTAAGAGGGAGAAGAAAGATCTGCACGTCATATGGCTAGATTTAGCCAATGCCTATGGGTCAGTGCCACACCTGCTCATAGCCTACGCTTTGGAATTCTTCTACATCCCAGACAACATCAGGACCATGATCATGAACTACTACCAGGACATGCACATGTGCTTTGCACTGAAGAAAGTCACCACTGGTTGGCAACAACTGGAAGTAGGGATCGCAATGGGATGCTCCATTTCTCCCATACTTTTCGTGGCAGCGTTTGAGGTCATCCTGATCGGGGCAAGGCAGATGGTGGGTGGGGTCCGGCTGCCTGCAGGTCAGAGGCTCCCACCCCTAAGGAGCTATATGGACGACATCACCTGCCTGCTACGAACCGCCCCATGTACAACCAGGCTGCTTAAGAGGCTGGATGAGCTGATCACCTGGGCGGAGACGTTCTGGGTTAAGGGGCGAAACGTCAATGAGCGGTGGTCCCCAGCTGAAGACCCTGCAGAAAAACCACGTGGTATGCGGTCAGGTTTAGGCCTGCCTCAGGGAAGAGGACGCCCCTGCCATGCATAGTCCACCATAGGCACCGTAGGAGGTGCGACAGGCCTAAGGTCCAGCAGAAAGACCACCTCGCTGTAATGAATAAAAAGGGAGTAACAGAATATTGGAATGCATTACTTTTAAAAGTAACTTTCCCCAGCACTGATCATGATACAGTATGTTGCAGAGTTACATTCTGAATAATTACAGTAGTGGCCAAAATTATTAGAACACCTGACAGATCTGAAAATATTGACCTTTTTTTTTGCCTCCAAAACATGATTTCATGTTCATGAAGCATGCAGATGGTTGCTGTGAGCACAACAAATGTCAGATGAAGTGAGTTGTACTGTTTTTATCCACTTTTAACTTTAATATTTGGTATGTCCACCTTTTGCAGCAATTACAGCAGCACATCTCTCTGGCATAGTGTCAGTATATTTCCTGAGAACTTCAACACTAATGTTATCCCATGCCTTCTGCAACTCAAGCCAAAGTACAATAGATCTGTGCAGTTTATTTCCAACTCGCCCCGAATTTGCTCGATGGTGTTGAGGTCCGACCTTTGAAGGGCCAGTCCATCATTTTTAGTTCCGGCAATAGTTGTATGGGAATTGTAATAGCAAATTCAACAAAAACAACTGAAACCTCTTAAATACGCCAAGTGTTCTAACAATTTTGGCCACCACTGTATATAATAAAGATGTTGTTTTTGATTTTCATTACTAAACTTGTTAACGACCTTGTCTGCGTGAGTGGAGTCAAAGACAAATCACAAACCACTGACAGCAATAAAAACTCAAAACAGTCATTTGTTGTGAGAGAAATAGCACAATAACACACACACACACACGCACACACACTCTCTCTCTCTCACACACACACACACACACTCACTCTCACACACACACACACACACAGTGTCCGTCTTCATCCTGCAGCAGATCTGAGTCTGTGATGCTGCTGAAAAACCAGCCTGAGCGTGTTTGTTGGTCTAATCTGGTCTAGTCTAGCAACTATTTTAGAGGATGGTTTGAACAAACACATGCAAATGAGTCGACATGAATCCGGCTCTTATTATCCATGATGATTTTATTGACTTCTGATTTGCTCTTTTGTTTTTTGCGTCTTCTTGAATCAAGAAGTCTATGTGTGGTTTATTAACAATGTTCATATATTCATGTATGTATCTTTTCATATATATTTATATAGTCATGTATCATTAATATGTTTATAATGACATATAAATCGCGGCCAGTTAGTGGGATCGTGTTCTATTCCCTGGGTTCACAGCGGCCACGAAGATTCACAGTATTTATGCGCAACAAAATGAAACAAACATGAAGAAAAGAGCTTTCAGTCCAAACGCTGTCGCTCCGATTCCTCACGCGGTTGAAAACGTGTTAGTTTACGGAAGATAAGAAAATCATGCATTTCACGTTTCTTTTTTGAGACTTGGAACATGTAAACTCGTCGTCATCATCAGATCATCATCACCTGCAGGGGGCGCTGTGTCTCATACAGGTGTGGTGCGACGATTGGCGTCTTTGGAGTCTTTCTGGATGCAGTTGTGCACCTGTAGGAAGTCCGGCTCTCTCTCGGAGTTGTACATCGGTGGCGTGCCGTGTGGAGTCTTCAGCGCGTACATGGAGATATCGGTGGAGGGCAGCGCTCCGAACGCCTTGAGTCCCACGGGTGAAGCGTCGCGCGAGTGCGAGGGCTCGGTGGAGCGGCTGGAGGAGCGCGAGCTGCGCCGGTAACGGTAGCGGTAGCTGGGGATTCTGCTGATGGCGGATCCCTGCAGATAGTCTCCTCCTCCGCCGGTCCGAGCGCGAGCCATGCGTAGCTCCCGGTGCTGGTCGATGAACATGTGAACGGCCAGAACGCCCACCATCTCCGCCATGATGAAGGACAGCGCGCTGAAGTAAAAGCTCCAGCCGTACGAGTAGCTGTTCTTCTTCGAGTCGCTCTTGGACGGGTCGCCCGCGTTGGCTGATATGTAAACGATTATCCCGATGATGTTACTCAGACCTGCGGATCGACACACACACACACACACACAGAGAGAACATCAATCACACACTGTAAAAAAAAAAAATCCGTAAAATGTACCGTAAAAAAACAGCACCAGAATTTTACGGTCAAAAAAAATACGGTAGCAACATTTTAGGTTTTATGGATTTAAATACCGTAATTTCATTAACTGTTATAATGTTACAGTTTTTTTTTAACTGCTTACATTTTCCGTTTGTTTCACGATCCTCATTCACGAACAATACAAGGGTGACTGATTTTTTTCAGGACCATTTAATCTTTTCGAATCATGTCCATGATAACGTCAAGTTTTTCGGTCAAAAATGACCCAACAGCACCAGAGGGTTAACAGACATGTTCCTCTTCTTCAACAACAGCATTTGGAAAAAGAGCTGATTTACATTATGATTTAACTCACACTGAGCTCAAAATGACCAAATTACTTTCTTAGATTTTCATAATTTCTGCATAAATCAGGTCTGAGCGATTGCAAGCATAGGGTTAGGGTCATGAGTGTATTTAAGCATTACAAAAATGCATTGTATTTACACCATGCCGATACATGCTATCCTAGCATAGCTTGATCAATCACAAACTTGTGAAGTCATTTTCCATCAAATTAGTTTATTTGTTTTCAGGTTTAAGTTATCTTTAATATGACCTTACTCTGTGTGAATGTTGTAGTTTGTGTGTTAGTCTCATTCTAATGTGTGCCGAATGTTTAGGACTCTGTATGCTGAGTTGAAAATCTCAGAAATGTATAGCACTCGCACACATACTGTACATGCAATGTGCACATATACACTATATACAGTCATAAATGGCAGTGTTTCCCAAATGAAACAAAAGAGCTGTTAGTTTCGAATGATGTGTGTGATGTAGAGAACTGTGTTGCAAAGAGTTTAAAGCATGTCATGTGCTTGTAGTTTTGCAGACTTGCTCTAAAGATTCGGTGTTTGAGTGAATGGATCCACTAAGTGGGCCTCGAGTATCTCTGTTAGTGTCTAAGCGATTTTAAAACACTGTAAAGCTGGTGAAGCGTGCAGATCACCTGCGGATACGAAGAAGATTCCCGCGCTGAGGATGATGTTGTGTCGAGTCTTGTCGAACTCGCTGGCGGCGACACAGAGGCCACCCACGAACAGCAGGATGACACTGAGGATGGGGAAAATACTGGAGGCACGAACCGCACCTGAAACACACACACACACACACACACGCAGTCATGAGACGTCTGATCCACGTCACAGTGTGTTCTAAGCAGGACCTGCTCACTAACAGTCAATCAAATCCATTCAGCCAATCAGATTAGAGTCCTGGGACAAGAAATCAGGATACGCAGGGTTACTCTCATTAACCAATATGATTGGTTGTTTTTCAACGGCTCACACACACATTTTCAAAACTTTGCCTCTTTTTTTCAAAACTGGACACACAAATCCAAGAATTGCACACAAAATGCCAAATGTCTCGCATCTCTTGCAAAACGAAGCACTGCATTTAAAATATCACAAACACATCTCAAAAGCAAACATTTGTTTTATGTTGCAAACACCTTTGCCGTAATATTATATTTTTGGATATATCATACACACAGTTATTCAAAACCTAAAGCTCTTCTTTCATGAGCTCCTGTGAACATTTCTGTACAAGACTGAAAGTAATCTGCAGAGATGCGGAAAAATTCACAGAAAACACGAACGCAAGATTGAAAGCAAACTATTTTTACTGTAAGCATCTGTGATTGTGAATACAGTATTACACAGAACCAAAGATTTATTTATTGATTGGTTGGTGTTCAGTGAAGCACATGTGAGGAGTTAGTGATGAATTAATGTGGCGTTTTGATTAGTTGTGTTTGAAAGTGAAATCAAGAGAGATGTTTGCGTGTGTTAGATAGAGAACTGTGTGTTGTGTTTTGCAAAAAGTGTTTTATGAAAATGAAAACTGAGTCAAAAGTCGAGTGTATGGTTTTACAGATTTGGTGTGTGTTTGAGTGTCAGCTTTCAGAGATTGTGTGACGAGTGAAGATTTTGTGTGTAAGCAGATGAAAAAAACTGTAATTGAAATATATAGCCAACATACAATAAAATATAAAAATGATAAATGTTACCTTGACAACTATCTGTAATAAGTTTAAATTAAAGCAATAAAATTACTGACTAGAAATAAATTAACTACGGTAACACTTTACTTAAAGCCTTTATATATAATGCATTATAAAGGGTTATTAAAGGGTATAATGCATTACAATTATTCATAATGTGCATTGTAATACATTATATCTTGTAAATAATTATAACTAAATTTAAAATGCAGTATAAAGTGTAACAATGAATTGATAACTGTTATGATGTATTAACTGTTGTTACAATCATTCATGAGATTGTACAATGCGTTATAATTAATGCATTAAAACTACTTTTATAATGTATTATGCATAAAGGCTTTAAGAAAAGTGTTAACTAAAACTAAAAGATGAAATCAATTTAAAAATAATCAATTGACCTGAATAGTAATATTACAAATAAAAATGGAACCCAATTAAAATGACTAAAGCACATAATGAAATTACTAAACATGGAACACATTAAAATGAAAACTAAAAATATAATAATAAAAGCTCATTCAAATGTAAATAAGAACTATGATAGTATATAAATAATGGTAAATTAACACTGAAGACATGTGAAGAATCAAACATGACCAACACTCGCTCTGATTTAATTATGATCTAAAGCACAAAT